TTCTTCAATCCCCTTCTAGATGAACTTCTCAACAGTGGCGACGGCTGAAAAGTGCACGACGGATGTGAAATTTGTAGGTGATAGAATGATGAAGTCTTTGCTTCTTTCGGCATCGGATATACGATGGTGAAAGTATTGGTGAAAAACCAACGGTTGCATGGTGTAACTTTACTAAACCCTGGCTTGTTCTCCCAAGAAAAGGGTACATTCCCTTTGGAATGGACCTTATAATTCCATTAGCAAGGGGAACAAAACTTATAATTCTTATAATTAAAGCTACTCATCTTGCAATAAACAAAAATTAAATAAAGTGATATGATATAACTAAAGTATATATAGAGAGACCTGAACGTCAGTTATGGAATTATAAAGGGACTTTCATGTACTCCATGCTCTCTAGCCGCGAATCTTTCCTATGGATGAAGCAAATAAAAACTGAAGAATAAAAGTGACTAAACATACATAAAGATTTGATGCTGAAAAATATTTAATATTTAGATGTTGGAACTGTGGGTTAGTGTTGGGGGATTTAAGTGGGAGGTTCGTGTGGGTCGGGTAGGGTCTTAAGGTTGGGTCGGTTAGAAATAATAGGAAATATGGTGGGTATTTTTTGAGCAACTAGAGGGTGCCACATGTCTTTTTAAAGTTTTGATGAGTGAATTAACGACCTGGGGGTAATTTTAAACTCAAAGTAGAACGATAGGGATAAGAATATGCAAAAAGTAAAATGGAGGGTAAATATAACTTATTTATAAAAGTAGAGGGATAAATATGACCCTTGTTCATATATTTTTTAGCATCCCCTCATGATTACCAGATCGAATTGGTGGACTGGTTAGCCTGTGGTGGTCGAAACTATTGTTTTTGAGCCTCTGGTCTATGCTGATTTTGAGTTCCCTGATTTTCACCTCATTAGAAATTTGGGTGGTTCCTCTAGTTGGATTATAAGTGTTACCATATTAATTCGCTTGGCCTCTATTAGCATTACTCACAAATTATGTAAGACTAGGAACTCAAAGTTTTAGTTAAATTTTGCATTCAAATTACAGTACTTTATTTGTGTTTGAGCCTAATCGATAATGACTTGTGCTTATTACGTATGTTATGCTTTATAGGATGTGATATCGCATTAGGAAGAACTTTTGGAGTTAAAATGGACATATTGGAGTTTTGAAGGCTGAGTAGAAGCCCAAAGAAGAAAACCGAGATCACGTTTAGGGGTCGAGGACCAAGTCTGAATGTTAAAAGTTAGAAAAATTCCGGAGCAAAGAAAATTGCACTACCACGCCTCATGGGGCACCACGAGGCGCGGCTTGGTGGTGCAGAAATAGCATGCCTGACATATAATTGCCCCTCTGATAAATCCCACAAGCGCGGTGCATGGGACACCGTGAGACCCATCACGCCTGTGTATTTTGGAAGCCCAGTTTTCCCACTTCGGCTTGAAAAGGGGATTTTCGCCCGGACCCATTCATGTATGGTATAAATACATCAAAAATATGATTTTTAAAGGACTTTGGACCTACGAAGGAATTGAGGGGCCTAGGCAAGGAGACACATTATTTCATCAAGGCTTCAACCAACAATCGATGCAATACGGGAGTTTGTATTGAATCATTAACGTTGATGTTACCTATATCTTTGAACCATTTTAAGATGATTTTTTCTACTGTTATGAAGTAGTTTATCGTAATTTTTGACGGATATGGTGTTTTGATTGTTAATTATAGATTTAACTCTGATTTAGTTGTTTGAATGCATGCTGGAGCTTTGAATTGATTGCAGCTTTGTTCACCGGTCCTTTTAATCGAAAGAGGAAATATTTTGGTGATTAATTTTGCATTATTTTTTTGGTTTTATTTAGTGATTCTTCTAAGTAATCGAAAGAGCTTTTTGAATTATTGATTAAACCAAGTTAAGAGAATATTTGAGAGTCGTTTTTCAAAAGACTAGTCCATTAACGTGTTCGTACATATCTTCACAGTACTTTATATTAGTTTACTTTGTTGAGTTCAAATTTAATCGAGAGAGAAGTCTTGACTTTATGATTGAACTAATCATCGAGTAAATATGTGATAATCATTAGAACATTCAAAGTGAATTTAATCAGAGTTAGATCCCGAATAGCTATTTTACACATATCTTCTTGTAATCCTTATTTCACATATTGCTTACAATCCGTTTTAGCTCAACCCTCTCATTCTCTATGATCAAGTCTACTTAGTCGTAATTTTTAATTTAGTAGTTAATTGTAGTTAGAAATTACCTCAAATCAAAGTGTTGACCATCCTGAATAGCAGTAAACCATAATTTATTGTTTAAATCCAATCCCTGTGGAGAGGATAATTTTACTATACTATCTTTGACTAGCGAGCATAAGTTTTCTTGTGTGTTTGCGATCATCAATAAAATAGACCAACTCTAGATTAACTGTGGATAGATCACTTGTGTGGCTTTCTCCACGTACTTCACAAAATGATTGTACTTGGTGTATCGGTTGGACCTACTATTTATTCATAACCATAGATATTTTGTTGAATTGATTCGCCAACAAAGACACTTGTATTGATAGTGCTGAAACAACATGCAACTCAAGTACCCCGCAACCTTATGAATTGTGTGTCTACTTGCTTCTCATTGTCAGTATGGATTACTCTTAGAGAACTTATTCAGGAGTGTGTAGATCTCATCAAAACACTTTTCCAACATTTGACCTCCTACTGCAGCATCTACCATAATCTTTGTCTCCGGATGAAGACCCTAGATAAAAGTATGAGCAAGACCTCACTAGTCTGAATATGATGTGGACAATCCCGAAGTAGTCTATTGGACCTCTTGAAAGTGGAATAAAGCGACTCATCCTCTTTCTGTTTAAAGACGGCTATTTCACTTTGGATCTTTGCAGTTTTAGTGTTCTAAAAGATGGAGAAAATCTCGCCAAGAACTTACGAGCTCATTCCATAATATAATAGAGTTCACTAGTTCATCCTTCAACCATTGCTTATCCTCACCCAATAAAGAGAAAGGAAATCGTGTGAGTCATACATAGTCCGATATGACTCCATTTGTGATGTAAGCATCGCTGATCTCCAGGAAGATAAGAATGTGTTGTTAGGGATCCTCATATGGCAACCTCTGTTTAAACTCAAAGTGCCAGTGATCCTGGGATTAACGATACTAAAGATGACATTAACAATGCTAGAAATAGCCACCTCTTGTACCGGTAGTGATTGTGCATACGCCATCTCAACAAGTAGTTGAATGAGTGTTTGAACATTGTTAGCTGCTCTTGCCTCCCTCAACCCTCTGCAAAATGCTCTCTCGGGTTCTGGGTTAAAGTTTTGAAGTATGTCTTGGCTTCTAACCCGCTGCATTCAAACAAAATTGCTGAGAAGTAGTCACGCAATCAAAAGAAGAATTAGACTTGACTAAACACGTAATAAAAGCTAAAACTAGTAAATCAAATAATTCTGAAATTTCCAGCAACGGTGCCAAAAATATATTGCTCTCAAATGCACACACAAGTATACGTGGTGAACAAGTAATAAAGTGATGAATAGAGTGTCGAGCCCACAGAGACTTAACATTAACTACCTACTATTTTAACTAAAATTTTCGTAATCTAATCGAGTTACCAAGATTGAATATTTGCTACTAAACTACTTTTGCAGGATGTAAATTAACAAATAAAACTACTACAACAAAGAATTATTCTTAAGATTCACTTCAGTAGAGATAAATATTCTAGAGTTGTGGTTGGTTTACCGATCCTTGAATTTTCTATAATTACTAATTAACTGGATTATCTTTACTAATAGTATTTATCGAATTACTTCTTGCCTACCCAAGATAAATCAACGTCTATATTCCTATAGAATGCATTATGATCACAATATTTAATTAAGCACATTGACTAGGTATATTCTTATCCTAACCACAAAAATCCTCCCCTAAACCTAGGGGTAAGATCACACTCTCTTTAACTCTTCTTTATTCTAAAAATGGCTTTCTCAAGCATATTAGAGATAGTTGATATAACCTAATTGTTGGCCAAACAATCAAGTAATTATGCACAAAGGAGAAAATAACAATGAAACATCAATATTCACGGCTAACTACAATCCTAAAATTATAGAACTTAGCCACAGAGTCATGGCACAATTACACAAGAGTTTTGAAGTATGAAGTTACTAAGAAAAGATTAAGAGAAGAAAACTTGATGATCCTTGCTCTAGCAATTGCTCCAAGCATGTGTTTTGTGCCTCTAAAGTCTAACTCCTCAAAAATTAGGTTTAGAAATATTTTTATACGAGTCAGGACGTTCAAGTTGCGGTAGAAAAAATCCCAGAAGTGAGTGGCATGGGCACTGCAGTGCTCTATCGTGGACGCTGGCCTTTTTCGCAATGCGTGGGCCTGGACGCTAGTCTTGAGCCCTTCTCTTTTTCTTTTGTCTTCGGCGTCCCAAGCATTGCAATGCGTTGGCCTGTACGCTAGCCTTAAGCCCTTCTCTTTTTCTGTGTCTTCGGCGCCCCAACCACTGCAATGCGGTAGCATAGGCATTGTACTTCCTTCATTTGTCTTTCATTTTAACCTCAATTCGTGCACATTTACTTTATTTCACTTCTAATCGATTCCTATATATGTAAACACCAAAATTATATTCAGCTCGTCACAACACACATTAAAATCAACAATAGAAGAACAAGATGCAAGGCAATTCTCATGCAAAAATATACACTTTTAGCCGAACATCAACCATGGGTGAAGCTACACTTTGATTAGGGTGGTCAATTGACCAACCTTTATCGAAAAAATTATACTACATATACAGGTAAAATATCAATTTTAGAGGTAAAATACCTTTTATCGAATTTTTTTTTTTTACTCTCTCTCTCTCTAAGTTTGAACCTCTTTGAGAAAACTCGTTGCTTTTGCCGCTACATAACTCTTTACTCGTATAACATTTCACATTTTATTCGGCATAAAATATTATACATATTCTTGTAGTGGACAAGGCTAGCAAGTAAACGACTATAGTGGATGTCGTCTCCTATGTCTTCTTAGAAACGGAAAAGAAAGAAATCCGAGCGAAGTGAAGCGACCGTAGCAACTGAGCAGAGTAATGGGGGAAACAACAATACCCTTCAAAAACCTCCATAGCAGAGAATATCAGGGACACAAGAAGAAGGTTTTATCTCTCTCCGTTTTCTCTCTCCAAGCATTTCATTGTTAACAACAAGAACCCCAACTTCACTTGTCCTATTTCTGAAATTGGGGTTCCTTAAAATTATAAATGATTTGACTATGTGATATCTTCTATATTTTTTTTCTTAAAATCTTTATTTGAATGGAATAAAGGTGCATTCGGTGGCATGGAACTGCAGTGGCACCAAACTTGCCTCAGGTTCTGTGGATCAAACTGCTCGTATTTGGCATATTGAGCCCCATGGCCACGTAAGCTTCTTGACTTCATTTTTTTTTGTTTTCATTCAACTTTACAAATTGCAGAAAAGTCTACTTTATGTTATTGTTGCCTTTTTTGCCAATCTTCTCTGCTTTTGGACTATTCTACTTGTTTTAGGACCTGATTTCATTATCAATAATTTGAAATGTGAAGCTGGGTGTGTTCAAACTGACAAACTTCAGATGAATTTAGGCGACGGGGAACATTTAAATCAGTTAAGATGAGATTATTTACTTTGTTTAGAGTGCAGAACTTGTGTTTTCACTCCCGTCACATCTGTCAATGTTTGGTTTGATTTGGTGAAAGTGAGGAAAGACTGGATAGTACAGCTATGCAAGATAAAAGTCTTTGCCCTCTTGATCACTTCATTAAGTATGCCAGTGCATGATGGAACATATATGATTACGTGTAGAAGAAGTCCAATTCCAATGTCAAGGCTAATGATACATAGAGTGGGGTTTGATGATAAATAAAAATGAAGCAGCTGTGAAAAGGTATAAAGAAATATTTTTAGCAAAAGGATTTCCAATTTTCTTGAATTCAATCTAGGAACTTAGGCTGACACTGACCCAGTCTTACATCGAATTTCCATATAATTTCGATACATGTGTTCCATATAATTTCCATGCCAATTTCTGTTTAAGTGGAAAGTTCTGGAGACAAAACTTGTTTGAGATTGACAACTATTTGCTGTTTTTAGAGGTGGGATTGATTACAAGAAACACACAAGGTCTTTCAAATTGGTTTCAGCCTCACCTCTGTTTTTTTCTCCTGTGATAGACAATTTCCTTCTATTAAAGGGTGTTATATATCAGCATAATTTAGATTTAGGTATGCAATTGGGTAACAGACTAAAGTGTCAAACTTAGACAGAGTAGCTTTTTGTGCCTTGCATCAAATGGGAAAGTAATGAAGGAAAAAATGATAAGAAGTTGAAGCTAAAGAAAAGAATTTTGGTTACTTCACTTTGTTTCTTGATTGCGAGGTCTTCTCTTAAGTTGGAATACCACAAATAGTTTTATGGGGAAAAGGTATTTTTGAGGTTTCTCCAGAGCCATCTGCAACTTTTGCACATTCAACTTGCATTACAAATTCTTCTGGCAAAAACAATAATATAGAGGGTACCAAAAGTTCGAGATTAATTGGTGCTTTATTTGTAGAAGCAGGGGCAGATTTTATTGCAAATTAATAGGCTTGCTCGCTCTCTCTTTCTCTATTCATTGTTTTTTCTTAATAAGCATGTTCATCTCTCTTTCATTTGGATGAAAAAGTTTTTGTACAACATTGAATCTGCTCTGAGAAGTTGATACATGCCTGCTTAGGAAAGATGCGAGGAGGTTGTACAAAATTACTCGCCCATTACGGTACAAACATCAATTTGAAAAAGGAGCAGAATGGTCTAACATGGTTGAAAGTTAATCTTTTGGTATCAAGAAAATTGTACTGAATACTAATTGAAAGGATCATTTGTATTTAGGGACACACAAGGAATTTTCAGTTGATATTTGCAGAAAATTATGAGGATAGAAAGAGTGAAGAGTTATCAAGACAAGTGATGAATTGGCCAGGCAGTAGTTGAACTTCTTTTATGATGCGACCGTACATGTAGATAGACTTGATGGAAGATACATGCTAAAATTGTTATCCTCTTCCTGATGTGGCCAATTCTACGAAGTTGTTGCCATGAAGTTTGAAGACATAATGCAGTTTTTGCGTGAACATTTGCTCCAACATATATAGCAAGGGTAATCTTGAACTAGATCAATGTTGTTTGTAGTTGACCTATTGGATATGACTTGATGAATTTCTTATTAGGGCTAGTGAGAAGGTATTCATGGTCATGTGACTTCAATGTTTTAGATATGCAGAGACTCTTGAATTGGAGGAAATTGGAGAATGGGTGAAAAGATGCAGAAATGCTCCGGACTACACGAGGGAAAAATATTGCTAAAGTAGAAAATTGAAAAAAAGTTTAAGATGGGTTTTCGTGGGAAGATCTCTCCCGTAGGTTATCATACTATGCACTTGCAAATGGAATGCTTTTTTTCACTCATTTAGGAAGAAGGAGGTAAGGCTGTACTTATTGTCAATAGAAAACCACAGATACCATNAGAGAGAGAGAGAGAGAGAGAGTTTGCAAGACTGGATAAACTTATACTATGTTAGTGCATGCAAGCTAGAACGTCTATGCAACAAATTCGAGTACCATATAACTCTAATTAGGGAGGGAGTGAGGGAGGGAGGGAGGATAAACTTACATACTATGATAGTGCATGCAAGAATTCGAGTACCATATAACTCTAATGAGAACATGTCTCATTTCTCTGTATCAAGGCTATAAACTTACTTTTATCTTGTTTCATAGTCACAAATTCTAAGTTACTCAATTTTGGAATTCGCTGAAAAATTGTACGATATTTTGCCTTTGCTTGCAAAAACCTAGAGCTTTAATAGCTTGTCATCATACAAATGACTACCCTAAAATCGCTGCTCCCTCTTTATGTTTCATTGCAATATTCTAGTCATTTCTATTTCCTGGGATGTGGAGTATGAAACCTATTATGTCCGAGTACCCTCCAAGTCTCTGATAGCTCTTTGCAGGGTAAGGTGAAAGATGTTGAATTAAAGGGTCACTCTGACAGTGTGGACCAGTTGTGTTGGGATCCCAAACATGCGAAATTGATAGCTACAGCATCTGGTGACAAGACAGTTCGATTATGGGATGCTCGTAGTAAGTTTATTATTCATATTATTCTACACCAGCATTAATCAACTGCTCAAGAGTACTGTATGAAATAATGAGATATTGGAATTTCAAAATGCAGTGGTATAAGAGCCTATGTCTGTTTGTTAGCCTAAAAGGTGTAACCTTTAGTATCTGCTTATGTTTTTCCCCATAATATTACTCCTTCCGTTTAAAAAAGAATGAAGGGGTCTTGAGTATGATGGCCAAACCTTTCTAATTTTGTCTTAATTCAGACCTCAATTTTGTAATATTTTGGGGAAAAATTTAACATGATCATAAAATAGATAAAAAGTACGATAAATTACAATTTATAATAAATAAAAATGTTTAAAAAGTATATGAAAAATTTGACTCCTCAAATACAACCCAGTATAATCTCACTAGTGGGGTATGGGGAGGGTAGTATGTACGCAGACCTTACCCCTACCCTGGGGTAGAGATGCTGTTTCCGATAGACCCTCGACTCCCTCCCTCCAAGAACTCCTCAAATAGTATTACTGTAAGGTTGAGGGGGGGGCTATGAATTAAGTAACTCTTCGTGAACTTTCACAGCCTTGTTTTCTGTCAAATTGCGAGGGTGTTGCAGATGCTAACACATTTGGTCTCCAATTGGCAGGTGGGAAATGCTCACAGCAAGTTGAGCTTAGCGGGGAAAATATCAATATCACTTACAAGCCTGATGGGACACATGTAGCTGTTGGGAACAGGGTACTCATTATTTCTCTTATCACTTATTAATGCCTAAAATCAGCAACTGCGTCTTGCTTCTATCATCTTAAGTTTTAACTGCTTCTAGATATTTATGTAGTCAGAATGAGTGTGCAGACACAGAAATTCCCTTTTTTTTTTTGAGAAAGGTATAGTGATATTATAAAAACTCCAGCACAAAGACTGCTGGGAATACAGATATGCTACATAAGTAACTCTTCGTCTCTTTCTATTGCCTGTACTTATATCATTCATATTTTATGATGAGTTTTGTTGGTGAATTCTATGGAGTTCCCTATTATTTACGTATCACAGAAATCAATTTGGTGAATTATGTGGTGCAGGATGATGAGCTAACAATATTGGATGTTCGCAAGTTTAAGCCTATTCATAAGCGCAAGTTTAATTACGAGGTAGTCTCTCCCCCAACTAAGCTTAAGCCTATTTATAAGCCCATGTAGTAGGTTATCAAAAGTTATTATAACTTGACTTGTGATGTGCTGGTATAAAGGCTATTGCGTTTGGTCCATCTCTGTCTCTTACTGTTGGCTTTTCCTTTGTGTTGCAAGTGTTTCAAATTGAATCGAATTTCTCAGATGTGTTGCTGCAAGTTTTGACTCTGCTGTAGTATAACTAAGAGTCGGAGTATCTGCTGGACATTCTAAAAGAAGACTTGAAGTCACACAGCATCAATTTTTCTTCTTTTTAGGTCTCATCTTCTCTTCCCCTCCAAGGGGGTATTGACAATTACTTTATGTAGAAAAATCATGTAGGTGCATGTATTTGTCTCCTAACTTGCTGTTCTTGTGGTATGAATAAATAACCATTTCCTCTTAAATTTAGAGATGCTCTTCAAGCATGGGCAAATAAATGCTTCTTCTTCTCAGGACAAGTCTTTAACTCTAATTTGCTGAAGCTCATTATCTCTGTTCGTTTCATGCTTGCTTCCTTTACCATGTAACGGGCCTTTTTTCTTGAAGTAATTAGTTGCAAAGAGTAGTTGCTTGATGCATTGGGTCATATTCCTACTCGGTCAATTGGCGTGATGTATTCCATATTGTTACACTTTTGTGAGTTCCCCAGAGTTCCAATTCTTTAACACTTTTGCCTCATCAGGTAAATGAGATTGCATGGAACATGAGTGGCGATATGTTCTTTCTTACAACTGGAAATGGTGAGTACAAATTATTGAGATGGCTTTGCTGGCATTCTGCAAGAAAAAGCTTTAGTTACCAATATGAACTCTTCTCAATAAAGTTTTCCTGCTTGTCATACAGGAACTGTGGAAGTCTTATCTTATCCGACTCTACAACCTGTTGACACACTTATGGCTCACACAGCTGGTTGTTACTGCATTGCAATTGACCCGCTAGGAAGGTGTGCCTGATACTTTGCAAGTAAATTTGCATGCTATCTTTGTGCTATGGTTTAAATGAAAATTAATGAGGTCTCAGACAACCCTAGTAGCTACTATAGCACTATGATGTCAATAAGCCTTTTTTTGAAGGAGCATGCATATGGCTCGCACTATGATGTCAATAAGGCTCTTGTTGAAGACTTGAAGGACCATGCGCATGATTTTCAGACCATGAGTTAGGAATTTTCCTCTAAACTAATTATACCGTCTTTTGATTCAATATTACAGATATTTTGCTGTTGGAAGTGCTGATTCATTGGTCAGCCTTTGGGACATTAAGGACATGCTCTGTCTTCGAACATTTACAAAACTTGAGTAAGTTCTCCTCAAGTAAGCTATTCGTCCTGATTATTACACAGGAGTTTCCGACAACAGGCGGCTGATTTTTGTTATTCAGGTGTCCAGTTAGGACAATAAGTTTCAATAACACAGGAGACTACATTGCCTCTGCTAGTGAAGATTTGTTTATTGACATTGTATGTACTCGAGAACCAGTTATTGTCTCTTCTGCATAGTGATTCTCTTTTGACCTTCTCAGCAACTTAGCCATTATTTGCCACAGGCTAATGTCCAAACTGGACGGTCTGTTCACCAGATTCCATGTCGTGCTGCTATGAACAGTGTGGAATGGAATCCTAAATGCAACTTGCTTGCCTATGCTGGGGATGACAAAAATAAGTACCAGGCTGATGAAGGTGTGCCTTTTCTGGCTTAAGAAAGTTTTGACCTTTTTCTTTGAGGCTGATAATTTTATTTCTTCCATGTAGGTGTGTTTCGCATATTTGGCTTTGAGAGTGCGTAGAGCAAGGAAAAATCTTTTTTTTTCTCTTCTTTTAAGATGAAAGAGACGTCAGAGCACTGGAACCTTACACCTTGTATTCCCAGTTCCAGTGAAAGTCTCTATTTAATCCTCATATGTATTTTTGTTTATTTACTTGAAACTCAAGTAGTCCTTACACCTCCTGATATTCCCAGATCTACCGATCAATAAGGGATATTGCTGTATGCATCTGCAAGTAAAGATTGCTCTTAAACTCTGGAAGTAGGCTCATATTACAAGCACTCAACAGAGCTGGGCCCTTCTCTGTTGATCACTGTCACAATTTTGCAGTTTGACAGTGAGCAAGTTCTTACACTAATGTCATTGCAGCACGATCGAATAGTGGTGAAAAAGCATATGTAGGGTTCCGATGGCTGGTACTTGTTCTATTAAGAAATTAGGGGCGTAGTTTGTTCATGTTGTAAGTTAAGTAAAAAAATTGTTATAGCAGCACCATCTGAGGCAGAACATGATGTCAAAGAGAAACATTCCTCTTAAAAATGACCAACAAAAATACGTGGCAATCAGAACTATTGTTGGGATTTTAAATGTATGGCAGAAATGAAGTACATAGAGAGGGGGAACTATGCCTTACCTCACAAAAGAGTGCTAATGTTATATAGTTAGGATCTAACTTAGAAGTCCTTTACAGTTTATAAAAAACCCTTCTCTAGGTCTGAATGTGATCTTGAAGATGGCCCATTTCCCTCAATGTGGCTTTAACTAACAATATGTGCAGGCCATCCTCTTTGAGGTCGGGCTTCATCTTGATTATGATGATCATGGAAGTCAAATTCAACCAAAAACATTCAATCATGCTCTATGCACCATTTCATTCTCCTGCAGTAGGCAGTGAGCCTGATATTCCAAGCACTAGCATAGGTTCAGCAGCCCATGTTTTCTTCTTTCGACCACTGCTAGCTAGTTACTAGTTAGTAGTACCCTTCCTTGTAGTAATATGCAATTAAGGGCCCTTCCTTAAAACTTCCCATCTCCATCTATTGTGAAGACCAATCAGTTCTTGCCATGTGATGCTTTTGGATTCTTTTTCCAGCCAGTCCACTCTGTATGTAGGAGATGGGACTTCTCAATCTTACATTTGCAGAAACCTTGCTGGGACTTCTCAATCTATCTATCCCCCTGAAAAAAACCAGAAACAAACAAAGGTAAGAATGAAATAGATATCACACTTTGCTATGAGCAGGACACATACTATGAAACTATAGGGGATCTGCTTTGGTCTCTAAATCATAAAGCTGGAGGTATTGGTACCTAAAATTAGCTGAAATATGAAAGGTGGGTGAGACTTTTTCCAACCAAAAGTTAATGGAAAGAATAAAATTTTTACCATTTCTTTTTTCTGCCCGAGCAAGGAGCAACTTTTCTAGAGTCCAAATTGCTGATTTAAGCGCAGAGGACGAGCCTAGAAGCTGGGAACACCAATCCTGTGAAACAAATAAGACAAATGGTTACTACATATTGAGATAACCAAGTTAAAGGCTTCCATTTGATCTCCACACTAGAGCTCTTCATTTTATTCCCAATCTGTGGTTCTTTTGACAGATCAAAACTCGCCCCTTTCATTCTCAATTCTTGAATGCACCTCGTCAGTGCTCTACCATCCCCTCTCTCCCTTTGCAACTGTTTCGACACTTTCCAAAACCTGTAAAGTTTCAACTGTACCAAAAACACAATAAAAAATGAAGTGCAAACTGATACCACTGATGGGATCCACCATTTGTGGCACGCGACATTATTATGGTGGTTGTCTTCGGAAATAGATGTGAATAAAATTGTAAAGAAAAGTGCATGAAATATAAAGAAGAAACAACAAAGTTGAAATATTTCTCTTCGAATGCTGTCCATTCGGGTCTCTTTGGCCGCAATTCTGCGGCCAGAGAGATCCTCTTCTCTTTGCCAAAGCTTGAGAAGTAAGAGATGACCTGGGCTTTTTGAGATTTCCGTTAACGGGTGATGTTGAATTGCACAAACAAGTTTATTTTGATGCTCTTCGTCTACTGGGATTTCGACGATAACGTGGCATTCCTTTGTTTCTGCCATTTGATGGAAAATGATTTCTTGGGAAAAATGGAAAATGAAACTAATTGTAACAGTAATTGAAAAAACACTAGCAATAAGAAAAATAAAGAAAGCTTTCAGAATGATCTGTGAGCAAATAGATAAATTAGAGAGCTTTGAGCAAATTGCAGTTAGAGCACAAGAAGATTGTGATAAGTTTTGATGTCCGAAATAGAGGGAGATATCTAGATATTTAAACTAATGTGGAATATCTGAGGGTTGCAACGGTCACTTTTTTTGGTCATCGGTGGCAACCCCAACGGTCGGATCATTGGGAGATTTTTCTTTTCTTTTCTGGATCATGGAGAGATAATTAGATAAATGGAAATACAATAGGATTTAAGGTTTTTTTTTCAGGATTTAGGATATGTTTATATATTATAATGCTAACATTGTAGTTTAAGTTGTGATAGTAGGCTAATTAGTATTTTTATCATGTTACCAATTGTAATATTTATCACAAAGATTAGTTGTAAATTTGTAATTACTTTATAAGTGATATGATTGTATAAAGACTTTTTTACACTATCAATGCGTAAAATATAAACTTAATAAAATAATCAATAGTTATGAAATATATTTTTTAGCTTAAGTTCTATGCACCGACGTTATAAAAAGGTATTTAGACAATCAAATCACTTATTAAGTAATTATACATAAATTTCTTGATAATCATTAATTGATAATTTAATTAAAATAATAACTAATCTACTATTACATTTTAAAATTCGCATAAACTAACTTTAATCCATATAATTCGCTTATTGATGTCAATTTTGGTGGAAAAAGGTATCGAGGGTCAATTTGATTTTGAAGTAAATAGAATGTATGTTAGCTGTAAATTTTAAATTTCTCATATCAAAATGATAGTAGAATATAACGTTTAAAAGTATAAGCCAAAGAAAACTTTTTCTTACTTTCAAGGATCTAAATATGACAACCACTTCATGATAATAATAAAAAAGTCTAATATACTAATAAAAAGTCTAATAAAAAAGTCTATTATTCTTGAATGAGAAGAAAGTCACCAAGTTTGAACCGAACCATTAAAATAAATAAAGTTGTCTCAAAATGATGTTATTTTGAGGTCAGGGTTATAAATAATTTAAGAAAAGGAAAATACATAAGTTTCACCTTAAACTTGTCCCAAAAACTCGGTCACACGCCTGAACTTTAAGGGCGTACTTTTACCCTCTTATTTTTGATCGAAGTGCATTAATTATCTCCCAAAAAATAAAGAATCACTTTTGTACTAGGCAATGTTACACATGCTCCTGCCACGTCAGAACCATGTAGATGCCATAACTTTTTTTCTTTCTTTTTTCCTTTGTTTTTCCTTTTGCATTTTTCCCTTTCATCTTCCATCATTCCTCCCTTTTCTATAGCACCCATCATCATTCATATTCCGCCATTAAATACCAAAGCTCAACTGCCTAAGAAAACTTTATTCCGTTACTTTCCTTCTCTCTAATATAATTTTTTACATCAAGATATTAAAATTATTAAATTTGAATGTCAAAATTAGAGACTCAACTGCCCCTTCATTCCACACTATGTGAGAATTCTTATGTTTCTTCCTCTTCCAAATCTCCAACATCTCACCATCCTCCATTTCTCTAAATTAATTTGACCACAACATAACACATAATATACACCAGTAGTGGGACCTTCATCACACACTCAACACATATCCTCTCTAAAGTGACATTCATCCATGGTCAAATCCCAAATCAAGATCCACTTGATTTTCTTTCTATATCTTAAATTTTAATCTTTGTAAATGGATTTATGTGAGACTATTTCAGTTTTTGCTAACAGTCTTTTAGCGAAAGTTTTCGCCAAACCCAATTGCTTTACTTTTTTTTTTCTTTTCCTTCCCGTTTTGTCTCTTCCTCTTTTTTCTGTCAAAACCTTCTAACTTAATATCAACGATGCTGTCAGATATAGCTATTGTATTAACAATAGAATTTTGTAGCTTTCACCAGTTGAATGTCGTACCCATTTTTTATTGCTACTCAAGATTCTTCTCATCTATCAAATACTACTTAAAAGGGAGTTTCAAACAGATTCAGAACAACAAAGGTCTGTTTGGAAAAATATGATAGAGGTAATTTTTGTTGTTGCCTTCCTGGTTCATAAAGTTAGGTCATTTTTAATTGCAGGGAAGAAAAAAAGGAAGAAAGTGAAAGAGTAGAGAGGAAAAACGAATAAAAAATAAAACGAAAAGATTAAGAAAAACTTAAATTTAATTAAAAATAATATTTGTAAAATTTAATTCATTTTACTTATTTTTTTTGCCAGCCACGCTCGATCAGGAAAGTGTAACTACTCTTTCTGCCACACCAGCTCTAAGGTGGATAATTAATGCACTTCAATCAAAAATAAGGGGTAAAAAGACGTCCGTAAAGTTCAAGTGTGTAACCGTATTTTTAGGACAAGTTTAGGGTGGAACTTATGTATTTTTTCTTTAAGAAAAGAAAAGGGATATAGTCAAAACTCACTTGTATAAAATTTTAAGCCCACTGCTAAAGTGTTGCAACATATAATGTTCATAGTAATTTAAAGGCAGAATACCTAAAAAATCTAAATTTTGCACGGATTATTAGTTACACCCTAAACTATTCGTGGTCTTAATTAACCTCTCAACTTGGCCTTTTGAGAGCCATTGCCTCCCTGGACATTGATGTGGAACGCGTGGGAGTGAAGAAAAATTAAAAAATCAGCATTCAAATAGGTTGTTTTTTAACTTTTAATTGTCATATAATCATATATAACTATGTATTTCTTCTTGCTCCATCTTAACATACAATATGGACTTTACTCGAACTTTTATTCTTTTTAATTTTTTTCTAAGATATAATGTCTATTTGTTCCAACTGCATTTTTTTTTTTGGACGAATTTGTAAAATGTTTGTTAGGGCCAAATAAAAAACTTTTAGCAAAAATAATGGAGTACCAGTTGTGTATATTTTCTATTTTTTTCTTTATATATAATGTCTATTTATTTTAATTATGTATTTTTATTTTCAAGTCAAATCAATAAAAAATATAGCTCCATTGTTTTTTACTAAATAAAAAAGTATAGCCAAAATAATGAACTTGCAATTGTACGCTGTTTTTAATTTCTTCTTTTGATGCAATGACTATTTATTTCAACTGTGTATTTTTAATTTTTCAGGTAAAATATGTAAAAAAAACATATTTTTAGAGCACCATAATTTAGAAATATATAAAAAATTATAGCCAAAATAATAAAGTTCAAACTATATATTTTTTATAACTTTTTAGATGCCTTGACTATTTATTTCAATTATATAAATCTTTATTTTCAGGTCAAATTCAGAAAAGAATAACTATAACTTTATTTTTTTTAGCCAAATAAAAAAAATTAGCCTAAATAATGTAGTTCTAGTCATATTTTCTTATAAATTTTATTCGAAAAAAATATTTAAAAAGTAACATACTTAAAAAGGAAAAATTATATTTTATTTTTCAAAAAAAAATGTCACAGACAGAAAAATTCATGTGGCAGGCGAGTGCATGCCACTTTCCTGGGATGAGATCGTCCAAAGGGGTAACATTTATCGAATAACCAAGTATAGGGGGTAATTAAGACCATAGATAGTTCAAGGATATAACAAATAATGCGTGCCAAATTTAGGGGGATTTAAAAATATTTTGCCTAATTTAAATGAATACATGATACATAGTTTGAGTACATAGAAATAGCAACTTGAAGGAGAATTGAAATGCAGAAAGCTAATGGGAAATATTTTGGTGATATGACTCTGTTTACGCATAGACCCAGTTCTATCGTAGAGTATATTTATCCGTAAAACGGTACAGTTAAATTTATACGTGGTTTCTAGATAAGTGGATTAATTTAATCCTGATATAATAGAAGAATTAGATAAATATGCAATACTTAGCCTTGAGATAGAGACGAAATAACATAGATATAGTTCAGAGAGCAGTGCTTCTGGGCATAACAACAATGAAATCAAAAAGTAAGAAGATAAAATTATATTAAACTTTGAATACAGAGTAGCGTAAGTTTTTCAGAAAATTTGTATCACTTACAATGATAATAGAGCCCACTCATTATAGTTGCACCTAGGGAACAAGGTCCTAGGATCAAGCCCTTCTTTAATATCAATTAAAAGGGTCATTGAAGAATGTGTAAAGGCGGGCATGAATGCCATATTCTTTGTAACGGGCAGTGTACTTAATGCTGCATAATATTCTTTATTAAATGCTACGGGGGCAAGCATTTAATTCATCTTTATGAGTATCATTCTCTCAGGTGTCAGACGAGATCGTTGCCTTCGGTTTCAGTTATCCTCTATTTTCGGCTGCATGTGTCACTTCCTCATGCGATCATTTAATATAACATATTTTACCCTATACAGATAGTCCCTCTTCTTTCTGTTGGCATAACTTTGTGTCACCGGGAAGTTGGTAAAAATATTTTTTTGGCGAAAATTTTACTGACCCCCTCTGAAAAGTTTCTGACGCTTTATTAGACACACGTCTCTCCGCATTTAATGCCCCGAACACGCGTAATAATTTTTGTCGGCTATCGAGGTAATTATGACTACGAGTTTAGCCGCCTAAACCGATACTTATACGCATCAACCTCCTTTATTCACATTTCATAATTCTCCAAACTCTCTCAAACTCTCTTAATTCAACTTGTACTTTGTTCTTCAATCTCTCTTTAATTTTCTTCATAAGAGAAAAGCTTTTTCTTCTTCTCTAACATAAAATGGCTTCTTCTTCTAAAAACCTTAGTTTCTTAAAGAACAAAAGCAAAGCCGATGAAGCTGCTCTTCCTACAGTGAGCACCATTATCCCAGAAGTCTCGTCACAACTAAAGATTTCGAAGAGAAATTTCTTTCTGCTAACCCCCGTACATGGGCCGTTGGCAGATACCCTTCTTTCATCCATCCTTCCAGTATTCGTGTTGTGAAGGAAGATTGCCATTACCAGGATTTAGACATTATCACTCCTGATATGGTGTAGCGGGTAACCTTACCCAAGAAAGGTTTTACGTATCTCTTCACTTTGGGGACGTTTTCTCTGAGTGGAGAGCTTGACTCTGTTATTGTGAAGTTCTGCCTCCACTACCAATTGTGTTTGGCACAAGTGAGTCCTTCCGTGTGGAGGAC